ACATCACAGGCACTTCTGAACCAAGCATAACTATAGTTACTTACAGAAGCGAAAGTGTAGCTAGACTAAGAAGTTAAAGTACAAGTGAAGGTTCACGAACGGCGTACGGTAGAATAGGCCGGAGGAGAATGATATTCAGAAGCGGAAACACAGGCTGTAGCAACTACTAGCAATAGCAGCGAGGGCAACAGCCGCTTCTCTCTCAAGTGTTTCCCGCGCCGCCGTTGGACGCTGCCTCGGTGTGCCAGAGGTAAAAGGAAGGATGGAGGCTACGTAGCCCAATGGGCCTTATTTGATGCAGGCTACCTGGCCCAATGGGTCTAAATATTCTGAACTTCTCTGGGTACCGAGAGTATCCTCTAATATCTCATGTTTTGGTTATTAAAACTTTTAATCAAAGTATAATAAATTTATGGGAAGAAAACATAAAATACCCTGAAAATTGCTAAAAAGGTAAATTTTAAAATTTTAATTCAGACTCCTAATACTATTTTGAAATTTTCAAATCTTGTAAAATTACATAAATGCCCTTTACTATATTTTTCTTTAAAAAAAAATTTGTCATCTCAATCAATGACTATCCTGTTTTATGTATTGACAACTCTTTTATAGCTGTGGATTATATTTATTTTTAGAATTCTGATAACTACTCTTTTTAGTTATGCACTACTTTTGTTTACGACCAAGGTTATCAAATTCACGAGTTTAAGCAAACTCGTGATAATGATATAAAATCGGATCATAAACTCAGATCGTAAATTTGTAAAAGTTTACTTTTATTAATAAACTGATATTAAAAGTATATAATCAAATAATTAATATACAAAAATGATAATAATTTCATTTAAATATATTTCATATTTAAATAATTGAAATTATATTCATCAATGTTCATAATTTATCACATTCAAAAAAAATTTTGTATAGAATTCATATATAAAGTCACTAAATAAATCAAATCCAAAAATTTAGTACGAGTTTAAGAGTAAGTTAACACGATTTTGTAAGTTAAAACGTAAAAAAAACAGTAAACTCGTTAAATAAATTCGTAAGTTTAACCGAGTTTACAATTATCACAATTTAAAAGTGAATCGACACGGTTTTGTTAGTTGAAAATGTAAAATCGTTAAACTCAGAGACTCAATTTGCGAGTTTGACAATAGTGTTTACGATTGACTATTTTTGTTTTTAAAAATTTGGTATGTACTCTTGTTTAACTATCGACTACTCTAGTTTTACTATTGATTGTTTTTGTTTCAAAAACTAAAAAAAAATGTATTAAGTGTTGTTAGAAATCTAGGAACTACTTTTTATTTAGTTATTTATTACTCCTGTGTAGTTAATAATTATACTTTTTAATCATTAGAACTTTAAAAATAAAAGTAGTTAATATTAAACTAAAATAGTCAATGGTTATGTGAAAATGGTCACTAAGAGTAATAACAATGTTATCATTTTACAATATTTTAAAATTCCAAAGTAGAAAAAATAGTCTAATTTGGATTTTAAATTTACCCAGCCTAATTTATCTTTTAATATTTTGAGACTATTTTAATGTCATTTTAAAAAAGTATCACCATAATTTTAAAATTTAAAATAAAGTGTCATTTTTCGACCAAATTAATAAAGCATCGTTCTTACCTTAAATTTGGAAGTGTTTTCACATGCAGGGCTCTACTTATCGTGTAGAGGAGTAACAAATGACTATGATTTTACTGGGAACATTTAAAAAGCAACAAACAGGGGGAGATGGCTCTGTCGACCAAAAAAAATAATGTTACAATTTCAAGTCCAAAGTAATTTAAAAAAACTGAGTTTATACCATAAAAAAGATGTCGACTATGAAATCTTAAAATGTCGATTAAAAACATTAGTTGGTCCTTTATTGATATTTAAAAAATAACAAAAATACTCATATTCGCGTATGAGTCTAAGAATCTGAAAAAGACAAGTCAAAAATGTCAAAAACTAAGTTAGAAATTCTTAAATCCTCAATTTGAATCTTGTTCAATTGAGCATTATTTTCATATCATAGTTTGACTTTAAGAAACGACAATATATAATATATAAGTTTAAAATGATGGAAAAGCAAATATAAAAAAATTGCCTAGATGAAAACAAATACAGCTAAAGCTTTTAAGACTTCCTATTCAGTTTTCAGCACTTTCAAATTCAAGCTAGTATTTTCCAACCTGTACGTGAACAGGGACATTTTTTCCATTGACTTCTTTTCGAAAAAAATTTAGTAGAAAATTAAGGTTGTTAATTGATATTTTAAAATCTGGAAATTTGAAAGTGGCATTACCATTGTTATATTATTCCAAAATGTCATTTTCCTCACAACTAGTAATGCGTCATCGTTGTGGAATTTTTGAGCTTAACAAAACACCTTTCTGGTGGGAGAAATAATATAGGTAAGCTTGAGCCAACAACCTCCGAGCACAGCCTCGAACAGAAAGATGCTCTCCAATGATTGCTTTACTAATTTTGGAATCCCATGCACCAACTGCCTAATTTCTTTCATATTTTTCAATTTAATTATTATAACATGTATATAAAAGCAATACTAAATGCAGTAATTAGATAACTAATTTCTATGAATCAAAAAAAATAATGAAATTGTTTAATTGTAAAATATCCTTTTTAATCATTTATATGAAATATAACTCATTTGATGAAAAAATTTCTTGAAAATATGCAATAAGAAAGGTTCAGGAAAAATATTATAAATTTCAAAAACAAAATAAATTAAAATGTTATATTTAAAATAAAAACAAACCCACCAACTAGTTCTTTTTTTAAGACTTTATCAGCTAGTTTTCAAACTTAGAACAGGTGTAATAATTTATTTTTCTTTGGAGTTTGGACTTTTGTGAACTTGCATGTGCTTGCGCACAAATGCTGCCTCAACAAATTATGCCCAAGACAAAGCGTATATTTTGTGGCGCTTGGAATAATAAATTTCCAGCGATTACATTACATATACTTCCCTATATTCATATCACCATACCTATAACTTGCTAAACCAAACACATTCCAATAAATAAAAGTAGCAGCTGAACCCATGATCACCACTTCAAAAAGGTGATTCTTCAAATGCTGTTTTTGACCGACGTATGGTTGGATTATGCTGAGAAAAGAATATACACACACATATTCATGGGGTAAAATAAAAAGAGGTGTTTATAGAAATTGGTTGAGACAACTTTAAGACCAAGGGGGTGTTTGGGAAGCTATAAAAGTGTTCTCAAAACACTTTTCCACAAATTGAGACAAACTCCTCCACATATTTACTTTGTGTATTGTAAAATCACTTTTAAATCATGGTTTTGTTTTCATCCAAACACATCCCAAAGTATCTATTAGACGAACACAATTGTTTTCTTATGTTTAACGAGGTACCACCAAATCTTACACAAGGGACATAAGGCTCAAAGTTGAACTTTCTTTAATTGGAAGTATCACTCAAATCCATTACATGATTTACAGTAATAGAAAAACAATCACAATGAACTGACATGCAAAATTATCCAACGCTGATTCCTCCTGTTGCGGCACTAACAAAATTTCATTACAGCATGAATGAAGATATGAAGCTGTACAACAAATAATGTGATGATGATGATGGGGATGATGATGAAGAAAAAAAATGAACAACCCAGACAACCCTTCTCTTATTGGAACATAAGTGACCTAATCTGAGACAACACAGGGCAATTCATTCTTTTCCAATCAATGTGAAGGCATGGCACTCAAGAATATGAATTTCTACTTGAGGAAGGAACTGGCAAACAGTCCTTAAGGTGTTCGCTATCGGATCTTCCAATGAAAAATCACTCGTGGACATTTGTTTTATCATCAATCCTTTCAAAAAGAAACTGTCCACGTGTGAAAATTTAATTGGCCAATTCAATGACAAACACTCAAGTAACTGCAACTATGTTCTGTCGGATCACAGGATAGAGGTTTTACTTTTTCCAATGATGCTGCTGATGAGGGTGAAGCAGGATGAAGAAGAATTCCAGGAGCTAGCAAGGTTGGGGCAAGGTCGTGGGAGAACTGAGACAGAATAACCAGACACATTTGAGCATTCCCAGGAAAAGGGAGAGACAGGATTTATAGATAAGGATATGTTGGAGAGGCATATGTTAGTGAAAGGAGATTCTGGAATCCCAGTGAAGTTCCCAGCTATGGTGATGTTTGAGCCAGTCACATCCTGTAGGGTGATGTGATCCAATTGGGGAAGAGCATCAGGATCAAATTTATCATCTGGATGAGACCCACAATGTCCTGTGGCTGAAAATGCCTTGTAGATATTCTCCATTTCTACATCTGATATCAAGATTTCTCTGATATAGCCACCTCTGCCTTTAGTGGTTCTGAACTCAATCCCACTGTGTGAGTTGTGAAGATGAACATGCTCCACCAGAACATTCGAGATGCCTCCAGACATCTCACTTCCAAATGCAAGGGTAGAGCCAGAAGATGCTTCAAGATAAACCCTTCTGATATGCACATTCTTGGTGGGCCTCCCATAGGCAATTCCATACTCATCCCACCCACTTTTGAGAGCAATTGCGTCGAAACCCATGATGATGATACAATCTTCTATACAAACATTATCAGAAGAATCTGGAAACATGAATTGCATAGACATCAGCTATGAAACGGCTGAGGTAAAATATTTAAGCTTTTCAGTGAACCCTTGCGAATAATAGAGCGAACCTATGACTATTGGATCATATAGGTTATGACATCATGCCAAGCACCAATTTTAACTCAATCGAAGTTAAAATAATGTGTCTAATAAAAGTCATTCTCAGCATATGAACAACAAAAAGTTTGGTCGAGGACAACAAACCTGGAACTATACCAACAGTATAAGGTGAATCTGGAGGAGCAGAGATTGAAATATTTTGAATAATCACATTGCTGCATCATATCACAAGTCTAACCGAGTCAGTACAATTTCATCTAAAACAAGTATAAGATCGTTCAAAGTTAAGATAACACAAACATACCTACAATAAACTGGGTGAATGCTATATGCAGGAGCATTTAAGATTGTAAGATTTGAAACAACCACGTATTCAGAGGCTACAATTTCAACCAGATGAGGACGACTATAGTTTAAGGAATGAGAGTTAAATTTGTCCCACCAAGCCGTTCCCATGCCATCAATAGTTCCATTATTGCCTGGTAAATCACATAAAGATGTTAAAATCGTAATGACGGAAGCAAATGCCATTTGGAGAAGTTCTAAAGAGGTTCTGCTGAGAGAGGCAAAGGCTGGTTAGCAAAAATAAACCTGTTATGACCACATCTTCTAACTTGTATCCATTTATCAAGCTCTGATATCTTCCTCCTGGAACTTCTGTCCCTCGACCATACGAAGGTAAGGGTTCAACCACATCCCAATAAGATGGATCCTAAATAAAGAAAAACCAACAAGTAGAAAACTCAAAGTTCAGGATTACCCTCAAGAGAGCAACAAAAACGACACTAACTAGCATTCAATATCTGCGACGTATGGTGTCATCATCAATTCAATACTCAAATAATCCTTCTATATGTATCTAAGAATATGTTTTTGTTTCATCCTAGAAAACTTTTATCCTCAGAGAATTGTGTCAGTATCATCATCTTAGTAATCCTGAAATGGCTAAGTTGAAACAAAGTTAAAATCTTTATAGAATCAAATTGAGTTTGGGCGAAAATACCTGAGATCCAATGATAACAGCGCCTTTTTCCAAGAAGAGGGTGAGATGGCTGGTGAGATTGAAGCTTCCTGTGAGCCATTTCCCTGGGGGCACATATAGCTGAGCGCCACCCTTGTCAGCGAATGACTTAAGATAGAATATGGCATTCTGGAAAGCAATAGTGTTCAATGTTTTGCCATCTCCAACTGCACCAAACTCCTGAATGGACACACTGTGTGGTCTTGGATCTAGTTCTGGATTAAAATCACATTGTCCACCACTTCCGTCACCGTTGATATTTACGACATTGCTCAATGCCAATAGCAGCAAGAGCAATGCCACCTGAAAGAGAGTCAACAATAAATTTAGAGACAGATGATATTCTTCTCTGGGGAAATACATCATATAGTTTCCATGCATATCTGATAAGAATGTGCATTGGCTTTGATAACAAATCTGAGTAAGTCAATCATCCAACAGAAACACAACTAATGGATTGAAAGCAGTTGAAAACTCACAACAGATTATACCAAGTCAGGATAACACTGAAGCATATAGAGCTTCAAACAAAATGTGTGGCCAGAGGAGTAATAAAACATGTCGGGGTTTATCAGATCATACAGAATTTGATCAGAGCCTACCACAGAGGGTAAGCAACAAGAGCAAATCCGATACGAGAGAACCCAAAGAAACATATTTTTGACTCAAGACTTTCTAAAATCGAAACAAAGATTGGAAAAAAAGTTCAAAAGCAACCATCGCAGTTCATCGACCCAAAGCTATCCCGTTAAGGGATATCCAGATTAGGCTCGAGCGACAGGAAGATGAAAGCATGGCAAAATAAAACCCATAGGAAAACGAACAAAAGAAACGTACTTACTAGCATCTTCTTGGGTCAAAGCTGAAGGAGACAAAGACCGGCGCTAATGCCCAAGCACAAAGAAATAACTAAAGTGCAGAGAAGAAGGAGAGGAAAAAGGGGAAGAGAGAGAGGGGAAGAAGAAGAAGCACCTACAGAACCGGGGCAGCTTTATGCAAGGTTTGAGAGTATCATAAGCATTAATTATATAAATGACAGCAACAGATCGAACAGCAGTGGCCTCTAATCATTTTTCTCTACATAAGCAGTGGTTTTTGTTAAGAGAAGAAATTGTAATAGAAAACGAGAAAGGTACTACAACAACAAAAAAATGACAGCTTTCGATGCATTAAAAAATACAAGAAGAAAAAGCCACCAGGCAAATCGAGCAGGACAAGTGGGGAAGAGAATAATGTGGTGGGGGAAAATAAAAATAAAACACATTAATTAATAATTAATTGACACTAATTGCAATTTACTCTGTTCATCAATATGATGAATAACGTCTCTAGCCGACAAAATCGTTTGAAACGGCCCTCCTGGCTGCATTGGAACACAGAGAAAGAGCGTGTTCGTGCTTCTTTACCAATAATAATAATAATTTTTTTTGTCTGAACATATGATAATAAGCTAAAAGTTAAAAGACAACACAGTAAAAATTTTGCCCATTCCCTGCTTCAAAACATAATAAAATTTAATTATAAATAAATACCAAAATTTGCATGTTCAATAATTTAGTATCAATACCAAATATCATGCCGGAAAAAATCATTATTATAAACTAAGAATAATATTTTTTAAAAAAAAACTTGGGCAACTTCAAAATAATCTACAAAAACATTTAATTTCTTTATTAAATTGAGATTCATAAAATTCATAGAATTTAATTATTGGCAATAGAAAAAGTACTCCCTCCAATTTTATCTATGAGATATAAATGACCTGATTGTGTAAATTAAAGAGACGGTCAAAATTAATTAAAAACAAAAAAATGTAAAAAGTATAATTTCTTAAATATAGATTTATTTATGAAAATAGTGAGTTGAGAATGTGACAAAAAAAAAAGAAGATAAATTAGTGAAGAAACATGTATTTGAAGGGTAAAATTAAAAAATACTACCTCCGGTCCTTGATATAAGACCTTCTTTGATTTTTATTTTGGTCCTAATTATAAAATTCAATCCATTTTTTCTCTCATATTTATGCATTTTTCCTAAGATAGTCTCTCTAATAATGACAATTCTAGCTAATAAATTTGATTAGTAAGGATATTTTATAAAAGACAACACTTATTTATTACAAATAATTAATTTAACTTATTTTTTTAATTTTTTTAAATTAGTCAACTAGTTCTTATAATTAGGATCAGAGGTAATAGTAGATTAAGATTCCAAGACAATTTCTGCAATTTATAATAAATAAAAAATTTAAAAATTGTCAAAATATTTAAAAAAATAAAAATAGGAATTGTGTTTGGGTCTTTATAGGTAACTGTATACGTGGGAGAGTGAGAAGGGGGAACAGTGGAATGGTGTAATAGCTGGTTTACATTTGTAAGACAGTGATTAGTGCGGAAAAAACATAGGACTTAATGGAGAGGGCAAATGATAAGGTGACGGCGAGCGACAGCAAATAAAAGCCTGGCAATGTGACACGTAAGAGTGGGCGTGAGGGGGAGGTACGAAGGAGAAGGGTGCACCGGTGGGCGAGAGGAGTGATAAAAGAGAATAATAATAATAATAAGTGAAGGAGTGCATGGGGCATCGAGAGACGGCATGTGGATTGACAGAAGAGAAGGGGGTAGAGTGGGGCCCACGTCAATCATGCCAAGATGCTAGCCTGGCATGACGGAACACAACACATTTCAAAATAATCAACCAATCGCAATAAAAAGTCCAACTTCTCTGCGACACGTCACCCTTTACTTCCCCATTTTCCCCTTTGAGCTGGACTTTTCCATTTTTTAAAATAAATGATGATATGTGCTCCTCCAACTCATACAAATTCCAAAATAAATCAATCAATATAAATATAAATAAACAATACAAATCGGTATTCATCCATCAATATTATTATTACCGTCCAGGTCAAAAAAATCAATATTATTATTAATAGTTTAATAACTGACATTCTAATAAGTTAAAATTTTACAATTACAATAAAATAACGAAATAAGTTATAAACTTGCATTGTTTCACCTTAGTTAAAAAAACACTTTAAATTTCATTAATTATATTTTAAAATTTAATAACTTTTCAATTTTACTCTTATATACTTTTAAAAAAATTATGGGTAATATTATATATTACAATAGATTTAGTGAAATGATTAATATTAGAGACTTAAAATATAATACTAGCTTCTGATCGGATGTAATACATTTTTTATTTGTCCTATAAATAAAGACAAAAAATACATATTATATTAATGTCAATGTCTTTAATAAAATATGAATGTTAAATACTCATCCGGTCCTTAATATAAGACCTAATTATTGAGTTGGTTTTGGTCTTAAATATAAGACCCATTTCTCATATTTATTAATTTTCTCTAAATTACCCCTATGGTTATTCCCTCAACTATAATCAAGTAGAAGAGAGAGATGTGGTATTAAGAAAGATGATTATGGTGTTTTAGGAAAAATGTGTCACTTTTCTTATAATTAACTAATTTACCTAACTTCTTTAATCTAATCAAATTAGTTAAATGGGTCTTATATTAAGGATCGGAGGAGTATAAAATTTATGGCAGATTGTTTTTTGATATGCGGAAATCCATATAAACTTTTTCAGATTCCATATAACAACACCATCGCCATCACCTGCAAAAGTGAGGAACAAATACGCTATATTAGTGTTTCGCTAGAAACATTGTCATCTCATAAAAAGGAAGTCACTACAAATATAAGAACCAAACTGATCGCTGTCAGAAATACATAATTGACACTAGCAATGAAAGGCTGCTCTTGCATGAAAATGAAATGAACACAACAAATCAACGTTGAGTGTGCAATTTTATATGGATATTTAATTACCTGAATTTTTTATAAGTTTTTTTACCTAATTTTTTCCCCAAAAAAACTAAAATGCATGCAAAATTTCCTACTAAATACCCACACAATATTTTAACACAAAACATGTGCAAAAAAGTCATTTTTCAAGGTAAGATATCAATTTATTTTATTTCTTATATTTATTATTTTGTCAAAATTAATTTGTTTCCCTTATATATCAATATATAATTATTTTTTTTAATAGACGAATACGCAGTGAAAAGAAAGCACAAACGACAAACTTAATTACTAACTCATGATTGCCAAGAAGCGATCGCATCCAAACCGATATATAATACTCCTCCGGTCCTTATTATAAGATCCAATTTGACTTTTTATTTGGTCCTAATTATAAGACCCAATCCATTTTTTCTTTTATATTTATGCATTTTTTTCCAAGATAATCTTCTAATAATGATAGTTTTAGCTAATATATTAATTAGCAAGGATATTTTAGGAATAACAACACTTATTTATTATAAATAACCAACTTAACTTACTTCCTTAATCTCCTCAAATAAGTCAACTGGGTCTTATAATTAGGACCGGAGGAGTATAATATTAAGATATTGCATGAGATTGTGTTTTTGGCCAGAATTGTGTGAGATTGGGTTACACTTATTTAATTTATTTAGTTTCATTAATTTACCCAGACTACATAAGTAGTTTCTACGCTAAGAATTGGAGGACTATTATATATACACACACATGTTAAAAATATTTTCTAATACTCCTCTGGTCCTAATTATAAGACCCAATTGACTTATTTGAGGAAATTAAGGAAGTAAGTTAAGTTGGTTATTTATAATAAATAAGTGTTGTCATTCCTAAAATATCCTTGCTAATTAAGTATATTGGCTAAAACTATCATTATTAGAAGGATTATCTTAGAAAAAAATGCATAAATATAAGAGACAAAATGGATTGGGTCTTATAATTATGACCAAATAAAAAGTCAAATTGGGTCTTATAATAAGGACCGGAGGAGTATTATTTTATGAGTCTAAAGTTTTGAGTTTAATTTATTTTACCCATATTGGTCACAAAAAATTTATTTGAACCATAATTTAGTTTGGTTCTCTTATGTCGTAGATTTAATTCATGTTCAATATTTGTTCTTAACGGGAGATCGTAATAGTAGTATGGTTTATAATTGAAAAGCCAGTATATAATCAGGTCAATGAATTAATTAAATTTATTATTTCCATTGAGTGGACTTATGAACAGGCTTCCTTTTTTTAATTTTTTTCCTTTTTTTGATAAAAAAGGCAATTTATTAAATAAGAATAAAACAAAGGGATTAGAAGAGACAGGCACCGTGGCGTAGCAATACAATACAGTCAATACTCAAATAATACCTCCAGTACTTCATATACTAACTAGTTAATTAATTTAAATAGATTAAAAAATCATTAAGTTAATTACTTGTAATAAATAAGTTTTGGCTTTCTTAACATACCTTTACTAATTATGTGTATTATCTTAAATTATCGTTTGATAAAATATTTAATATATGTAACTATTACAATGACCACATTAGAAAAAATAGATAAATATGAAAAACAAAATAGATTGGGGTTGAGGTCCTATAATCATGACCAAATTAAAAGTTAAACTAACTCTTATATTATGGATAGGAGTTAGTATAAGAACTAATTGACTAATTTGAGTAAATTAAAAAAATTAGTTAAGTTAGTTATTTATAATAAATAGGTTTTATTTTTCCTAAAATATCATTACTAATCAAGTGTATTAATTAAAACTATCATTATTATAAGAACTACTTTGAAAAAAAATGGATAAATATTAGAGACAAGATGGATTGAGGTTTATTAAGTACAAGGGGTAGTATTATGTTTTTGGCCGGCAACAATCAATAGATACTACTGCTTCCAGTTCTTAGTATAAGAGTTAGTTGACTAATTTAAGTAGATTAAATAAGTTTGTTGAGTTACTTATTTTGTAATAATTAAATATTCGTTTTTCCTAAAATATTATTATTAATAAAATGTATTGGCTAAAACTACCATTATTGTAAGGGCTACCTTGACAAAATGGACAAATATAAGAGATAAAGTAGATGGGGTCTTATATTTAAGATCAAAATAAAAACTAAATGAGCTCTTGTATTAAAGACCGAATGTAGTATTAATTATTTGCTATGAAAAATGAATCATTTTCTTTTTAATTAAACA